AGAGGAGAGAGAGGGAGGGAGAAGAGAGAGAGGAGGGAGAGAGAGGAGAGAGGGGGAGGGAGAGGAGGGAGAGGAGGGAGGAGAGAGAGGAGAGAGAGAGGAGAGAGAGGAGGGAGAGAGAGGAGAGAGAGCAAGGAGGGAGAGAGAGGGGGAGAGAGAGGAGGGAGAGAGAGAGGAGAGAGAGAATAGAGAGGAGAGAGAGAGAGGAGAGAGAGAGAGGAGAGAGAGGAGAGAGAGAGGAGGGAGAGAGAGGAGAGAGAGAGAGGGGGAGAGAGAGAGAGAGAGAGAGGAGAGAGAGGAGAGAGAGAGGAGGGAGAGAGAGGGGGGAGAGAGAGGAGAGAGAGAGGAGAGAGAGGAGAGAGAGAGGAGGGAGAGAGAGGGGAGGGAGAGAGGAGAGAGAGGAGGGAGAGAGAGAGGAGAGAGAGGAGAGAGGGGAGGGAGAGAGGAGGGAGAGAGGGGAGGGAGAGAGGAGAAAGAGGATGGAGAGAGAGAGGAGGGAGAGAGAGGCCAGAAGAAGATGGGTCTATGCACGCAGTATTAAGTGAAAACAATAACACTTTAGGAACTACGATTCTCTAACAAAACATCCCTTCAAAAGTGGGGAAGAAATTAAGAAACTCCCAGAGATGAACAACGAGTTAAGGGATTTCAGGTAAGACGGGAGGGCACGATGCAGAAGAAGGGAACTTCTCGAGACTTGCGCATCTCTGTACAGAGGGGATGGCTCCCGAGAAGCCGTGTTCTAACTTGAACCCCAACTGGCTCTTCCGTGCGTGGGGGCAGATAAGGAGACACGCTTGTCTTTCATCTCTCTGGCAAACCAGGTGCCGTAATGCACCACGTCACTTGTAGCTCTCTTTTCTACAGGGCTGAAGAGGGCTGAACCGCGGCAGTGGACCCCAACACTTAGTGGAAATCCATTCTTGCTTCTCACATAGTTCTCTGCACCGCGTATTGATCTTCATTTGGGATGCCTGGGTCCTAAAATATGCACGTGGTTCCTAAATGTTCCTATATATAATATATATATTAATATATATTTAAAAAACGAAGACTATTTTGTTACAGGGCTTGGGGCCTGCTCTATTGTTTTCAATGCTTATAAAGACATCTGGGTTTTGCTTGTTTTTAGTTCTGACTGTGGTTTTGGTGGTGCCAAAGCACAGCCGGGTGAGCCGGCGGCTGCTGCAGCATCCCCGTAGGGAGACACCACCGCATCCTCCAATGCTGGTGACTTCATTAACCGGCAGGGAAGCCAAGCTGGCTGGATGGGAAATACTGGTGTTTGTCTCTTCGACATCTGGGAGCCAACATGGAGTAGAATGTGGAGAAGTTCTCAAAGAGCCTCAGACTCTGTTGTCTTAAAGTAAGGGCGCTCTGGTCCCCAGAAAGCAAGGATACAGTGGCAAGCCAATGGGAAACAAATACCGAGGAGCCAGACAAAATGTGATCAACCAGGCTTCAAGACGAGCCCAGCGAGTGGTCCTCTGCCGCTCGGCCCCCCAGGACAGCCTTTCCCAGCAATTCCTTCCTCACAGCGAATGTGTTCACAGCACGGTCACGCTCAGCCCAGGGAGGACTCTGGCAGAAACGCAGCCTTTGATCTATTAGTTACAAAAACATCAGGAAAAGGTCACGCAACTGTTTGAGGCTGCCTGAAAGACAGCTTCCAGGACAGCTTCCCCCTTCCAGAGCTCTCTGAGCACAAGCCAGACACAAGGTGCCACCTTCCAGGGCAGAGGATACATCTGTGGTCTGCAGGAGGTCACTGATCTGAGCCCTTTTCTCTTGGGTTTGGTGCAGTGTGCATCACTCCATCCTGGGGCAGGCACGGCCAGGTAGATTAATTACTGTGCCAAGTCCCGAAACAAGCCAGCTAACAGCCCAGGGGAGCATGGAGCAACCCCGGCCAGCCTGTGTTGTACTGAAGTCCCCACATCCTCCAGCCAAGGCTGACTGGTAGAGGTGCCCGTGCACAGGTGTCCAAAGTTCAGCTGTGTCTCTGTGTTAGAGAGGATTCACACGGAATCCTTTGCCCTGAAACGCACTCTGCCAGCGGACAGCCTGCGCTACCACAAATAAAATGAATACCGAGACTGGCAAAATCTTCTTCTTCTTCTTCTTCTTCTTCTTCTTCTTCTTCTTCTTCTTCTTCTTCTTCTTCTTCTTCTTCTTCTTCTTCTTCTTCTTCTTCTTCTTCTTCTTCTTCTTCTTCCTCGGAAGAAATTATGTCTTTTGTCAAAGGAATCGCTCACTATGGTTCAGAAAGGCAGGCCTCGGGAGCAGAGGGACCCAGGGGGAGACCTTCCTTGCCGGGATTTTTGATTGCAGCGAGCCTGCCCAGTTCTTTGCTGTACTCTGGCAATGGCGGTAAAGCTGAGTCCCTCAGAAGAACCTAACAACTTATCATGGCACGCTGGCACTATCGACTCACTGACCACGCGACTCAAGAGTATAAACTAGGAAACCACATTTATTTCGAGTGGCTGTGTCTGTTACTATCTTCCTTGTTCAAACCATATGCTTGATGGAGGCAATTCCATGAAGGAAGGATTCTTTTTTTGGTTTGCAGATTGAGTTTGCAGCACGCGATGGAGAGGGAGTCACAGCAGCCTGGGCCTGGGTGAGGCTGCTCTCACGTTGCTAGTACAGAAAACTACGCTGCAGACCCAGAGCCAAGGGGAAGTGCCCCACAGTTAGAGTTGACGTTCTGGGAGACTGCACACTTCCAGAAGTGTGGGTGTTTTCCTCCATCACCTGTCACAATAGCACATCTGGCCACTCCCCTCGAGAAACCAGCCCCGCTAACACCAAGTCCTCTGTTCATAAACACCAAAATCCTGCTAGCTGCTACCTGAAACTACTTACCTCCCGGCAGATACCAACAACTGAGAACCTGGCCAGTTATTGTCGGGTTTTGGATGGTGGTCATGGCGGGGTGTTCAAGGGGGACACTGAGAGGTTATTGGGGACTAAGGAGTTTATTAGAAGAGCTAATAATGCCATGGACAGACAGGCAGAGAGGAAACAGCATGGCGGGGCCTCTGTAGAGAGAAATCTTAGTCTGGTCTTAGCCCTGGGTGGGGGGGGGGGAGGCTGGGTTTCATAGCAAGAGTCTGCAGCCCATTGTCCGATGCCCAGGCTGGGGGCAGGGAAGGGGTGGGAACAGAGTGTGAATGGCACCAATGTCCCTTTTGATGTCAGCTTACTTCCCAGGTGAAAGATCCAGGCGCTGGGTTTGTCTATTAGCTTGGGACTCACAGAAAACTCAGTTGGGCTCCTGCATCCTTGAAAGAGGAGAGGAAGCTGTTACAGATAACGGTGGTCTGAGCTGCAGCCAAAGGCTAAAGACACATTCTGCAGACTCATTCTGCTGTAGGGGGCCTTTCTTGTGAACTCCCAGAGAAAGCAAATTCCAGATTTCTTTATCGGCAGTGAGAGAACCCTGGGACTTACTGCCTCCCCAAGTATCCACTGAAGAGAGGAACTTGGCAAGGCTCCTGTCCACCCATGAGAATCGCTCCCTTCTACAAGGACAGGGACATGGTCAATGTCCTAGCAATATCTGCAAGCTTTTTTTGCAAATGATTACCCTCTGCAAAAGGAAACCTAGGCAGGCAATTTCTTCAGGTCTCCAAACCACGCCCATGGTCTACATGACACCTTTTTTGCATAGTAGATTTAGTTCCAAGTTTCTGAATCCAGGAGTTTCTTTAATTAGAGATCTTAGCTGGTTTTTTTTTTTAATTTTCAGTTCTAGAACCAGGCAATGAAGCAGAATGTGTTCTCGAAATCTACTTTTAATCAGCTGAACAAGAATTCCTTTATGAATCGATGGCCGTGTTTGGTTTCCAGGGCTTAACATTCAAATCTAACACACAGAGGCCCTATTAACCCATTGCCCCACGCTTAAAAATTGAGCCTTTGCAAAGGCTTCCTTGGAGTTTCCAGAACTTTCTGTCAGGCTGACTAATTGGTTCTGACTGGAATCCTGTGACTGGACTGCAGAGAGAAGAAACCCTTGTCTGAGTGGGTTTTGCTGACAATCCGCCCTTGCCAGTCTGCCTACCCTGAGTGTGTACTTGACTCCTGGTTGTCCATTGACTGAAGCGATCCACCTGGCTGGCTCTCACCTCCTGGAGAGGCTGAAGTCAGCCCAGCACAGGCGACCTGATGTGGAGACTGGCTCTTGAGTTGTAGGGAGCCGTGGAATCAGTGGGATCAAGTCTGGTGCTGATTTCACCTTTGAGGTAGATCACGCGCAGCTTCCGAAGCCGAGATCATTTTCTTCCAGAAATATCTTACTCTTGCGTGGCTTTTGCAAACATGCTTATTTTTAAACCCAAGATCATGCCAAAGAAAGGAATGCAATTTTTTTTTCATGGCTATCAGAAAAAGCACACAGAGAGGGTGCATTTGAAGGAAGTCAGATGTCGGAATGACCGCAGTTTGCCGTTGAGCCACCACCTTGTCCTTGATTTGTGTCTCATCTCTCTTCGGGGTCTCGGTTGCCTTGCTGTTGCCGTGACAAAAATGCTCAGACAAATGACACTTAGGGGGGCAGGGTTCGTTTCAGTACACAGGTTCTAGGTAACGGCCCCTCACTGCAGGGTAGTCACAGAGGCAGGGGCAGGCACAGCTGGCCGCATTGCGATGGTGGTCATGGTAGAGCGTCTCTGTGGTGAAGTGGGCTCCTAGGAGACTGCCGGTGACGTTTCTCGGCCTTTGCCGGTTCCCAGAGAAAGGAATGTGTGTGGAGACAGCCTGTCTCTGGGAGGGGAGCCTACAGGTGAGAAGCAAGGGCAATGTGGCAATAACTCCCTTATTCCCAAGCCCCTCACCCCACTCCTATGAAGAGTCACAGCTAGGCGTTGCTCCGGAAGACCACTCAATTTTCCTCAGAAGAGAGGCTCCCTCGCCATGTGTGTGCTAATAAGCACAGACCCGTTTGTCAATCCCGTCTCTTTCACTCTTCTGTCTCCTTGTGGCGCCTCAGGAATGCACACACACTAACGCCACAGCTTGATGTCTTCCCTTTTGTGCACTCCGGGATGTCCTGACCAAGCTAATGGTGACACTCGGGATGGAGGTCGTTAGGTGGAGTTTTCCTGTCCCACAGCTGCTGTCAAATAATCACTCAGGGGCTCAATATAAATTATAGATGCTCGACCAATAGCTCAGGCTTATTACTAACTAGCTCTTACAACGTAACCCATTTCTATTAATCCATGTGCTGTCCCGAGGCCTGTGGCTTATACCTCTATCCCATTTTGTGGGTCTGACTCATTACCCATTTGACTGGTGACTCCCTTCTGGCTCCGCCCTCCCCCATCCCAGAATCCTCAGTTCCATTGCCCCACCTAGGTTTATCCTGCCTTGCTGTCGGCCAATCAGCTTACTTATGAACCAACGAGAGTCATGCACATTCACAGTGTACAGAACGGGGTTATTCCACAGCAGAGTTCGTCCTAAATCAATTAGTTTAGTAAGATAATCCCCTGCAGGCCTGGCAGAGGCCCATCTCCCAGGCGATTCCATATTCTGTCAAGTAGACCAGACCCCCCCCCAAAAAATCACAGGGTATGATGTTCAATGGACCATGAATAAAACGGATGAGTGAGGGGTGAGTGAGTGAGAGAGGGGGATCGAGCCAGCGAGGAGTGGGTGGGCTGGAGAATGGCCCAGAAATCTCAGCGAACATCACGCAAGGCTAGGCAAGACAGACGAACCAGTCAGATTCCAAGACCTTATGAGTTCTACTCATGTCCGACTTTGGGGAGGGGGAGGTCATATGGCTCCCACAAGGGTGGTAAGGGAGTGGGGGTGAGGGGGGGCAGAGACCCCACGGCCATGCAGGAGGACCCACGGCACCATCAGCTGCGAGCTGAGCTGGCCAAGACTCCATCTGCTTTAATGTGGGATAAGGCGATTTTAAAGTTTTTGTGGGTGAAACTTTTTCACTAAAAAGGCTGAATCTTAAATTTAGATGTGGGTATTGTGTAACATGGTGGGGTGGGGTGGGGCTGGGTGGGGTGGGGAATGGGGTGGGGTGGAGTAGGTATCTGTGTTGTCTTGAATAACCAAGAGCAAGTGAAGCAGTACGGTGACTCTGTTGTAAGCTGGGGGCATTAGGTGATCAACGGGACAGCCACAAGGGCCTCTAGGGAGGGGTGAGCCTGCAGACAGAGGTGAACCTTTAGAGACTGCACACACCCACAGGAGAAGAGCAGGCGGCACCCTGGGGCTTGGGAAGCTTTTCTCTAATGGAGTTGATGACAAAGCCCATGGGAAAAAGGGAAGACAGCATCCGACAGTGATCTGAACAGCGAACGAACTGGCTGACAGGAGATGTTTACCAGTTCCTAATAACAGCTTACCAGGTATGTGTGTGTATGTGTGTGTGTGTGTGTGTGTGTGGCTGGCACTGCCCCGTGTCCTCCAGACCGGCCAGGATCTACCTCCCCAAGAGAGACAAGTAGGGACCTGCTCCACTACGGAGCCCTGAGGAGGGGAAGGTCTGGAAATGAAACGACAGAGCTGGGTCTGTTCTGCGATTTAATAATAATGATTATCACCGTTATTATAAGAGCTTTCATTTGTGTACTCAGTGGGCTGGGCGTTTTCCCACACACTTATGTACTTGGTTCTTAGAGTAACCTGCAGCATAGGCTACACTTTTCACTTACGTCGCTTAATTGGTTAATTCTTTGGCTGAGTCTGTCTCTGCCTCTCTGTCTCTCTCCTCTCTCTCTCTCTCTCTCTCTCTCTCTCTCTCTCTCTCTCTCTCTCTCTCTCTCTCTCTCTCTCTCTTTCACACACACACACATACATGCACACACATACACACATGCACACAAACACACGGACACACTAAAATTGTTAGGAACAAAGGGCATGTACGCAGACTGCTCACACCGGCCGGGCCCCAAGGAGAGCGTGGTGCTGATGTAAGGACAGCAGGCGCTGTTGGCTTTCTGCTCTGTGCTTGCTGGGGTTCCCTTCATCTCCACACAGCGTGGCTACGTCCTTTGGAGACGAGTGCCCACCAGTGCCTACACAGCTGCTTTGCTGACTTAATGATCGCATAGACTTCCCCTCTCTAAATGAGCTATAATTTATTCAGCTAGACCCCTTTAAGGAACGTCTGGATGGCTGCCAATTCCCTGCTTTTAGACCCCGCTTGTGCAAGGGATACCATGATTTCACAAATGGCCAACTGCCCAGACGCAGCTTCTCAAAGCCGATCCCTGCAGATCCCTAGACCACCTCATGGGGCTTTCGTTCCCAGCTCCAATCCCAAGCAAGGCCATATCTTCTCTCCACAGATGTCGATTAAAGCAACACATTGCAGTCTGGAGGTGGGAACAAACTGGAATCCAGCCGTCGGCTGTTGAGCCACACAATGAAAATACTGTAAAATGTAAAACAGTGCCCTCTTTTCGCTGATTTCTAACAGTGTAATTTTTCATGTGATGGAGTTATTATTTTGTAATATAGTAAATATCTTTTAATTTTCTCATTTTAGCAAGCTGGGGAGACAGCTTACTCAGTAAATGCTTGCCTTGCAAAGTCTGAGGACCCGAGTTCAATTCTTAATATTCATGTTAAGAAAACAAAACAGCTGGCCGGTGGTGGTGCACGCCTTTTAGTCCCAGCACTTGGGAGGCAGAGGCAGGAGGATCTCTGGGAGTTTGAATCCAGCCTGGCCTCAGAGAGTTCAGGACAGCCAGGGCAACAAAAGAAACCAAAAAACAACAAAGAAACAACAATTAAAAATAAAAACCAGCCGGGCGTTGGTAGCACACACCTTTAATCCCAGCACTTCGGAGGCAGAGGCATGCAGATCTCTGTGAGTTCTAGGCAAGCCTGATCTACATAGCGAGTTCCAGGACAGCCTCCAAAACAATACAGAGAAAACTTGTCTTGAAAAATCAAATAAATAAAAAAATAAAACAAAACCCAAAGACCCAGGTGTGGTGGCAAATACCTCCTAATCTCAGTGTTGGAGAGTCGGGGCCAGGCAAATCACAGGGGCTGACAGGCCAGCCAGTCTTACATACCAGACAAGCTCTAGGTCACCTATCTCAACAAAAAAAAGGTGGCCGGTTCCAGAGGAATGACACTTGGGTTGACTTCTGACCTCCACAAGATCACATGCGTACACACACACACACACACACACACACACACACACACACACACGCGCGCGCGCGCGGTCTTTGCTTTTGACAAATTCAGCTACTTAATCTAATTTTACCTTTATTTTCTAAGGGGTAAATTCTAGTATACAGAAACCATGGGGCAGATTTCATTCAGACATTTCACTGTTTTGATTACGTTTGAATTTAACTTCTGTGAGCCTGTTTGTTTTGTTGTTTTTGTTTTGTTTTGCTTTTCCAGACAGGGTTTCTGTGTGGAGCCCTGGCTGTCCCAGAACTCACTCTGTAGACCAGGTTGGCCTCGAACTCACAGAGATCTGTCTGGCTGTGACTGCCAAATGCTGGGATTAAAGGCGTGCTCCACCAAGGCCCGTTCAAGCCTGGATTCTTCCATAACTGCGTGAGTGGAGACAAAGGCAACTCCCCTGTTTAGCTCAGAGACAAGGCACAGGACTGAGGAGAGCCCTAGTTTCCTGAGCTCTGGGGAACTTCCTCCCGTAGCCTTAGCCCCAGGTCTTTGGGCTGATGAGTCATCATAAACCTTGAATCTTTGGCCTGGCCCATAGCTCGCCAAGTGGTCACCGGCACTGTCTCTCCACTACAGACATCTAAATCCCCGGTAGAAGAAGAAACCCTGCCCTGCCTTCCCAGCCCCAGAGCTCACACCCGGGTCCTGTTTCAGTTCACTGGGACAAGCATGCCTTTCCTGCAAGCTGCCCTGTGCCACACCACTGCTTCTTCACGTAGAAATGCTGAGGCACGCGCCTTCATGCACGCACGCACACACACACACACACACACACACACACACACACACACACACACACAAGTTCCTGGCATTTCCACCAAGAAAACCCAGGATCTCGGGGAACAGGGGTCCTCCAGGGATGTGGAACTGCAACGGACACAGTGTGCCTCACTGTCCCTGGAACTCGTGTTCTAGGGTAGAATGGAAAATAAAGTCAGCGAAACAGTGTGCAAACAGGACGTTTGATAGGGCCACTTCTTCAGGCCGCAGTGCCTGTCCCCTGGCCTGCTGTGCCCTCCTCATGTCCCTGCTGTGCTGGCGCCTCTGGGGAAGAGGGCTGCCTGCTTGCTGACAGATCCAGCTATTTCCCTCAGATGGCTGATCAAGGGTGGAAGGCCATCCTGTCAGATGCAAGGGATCTGCAGAGTGTCACCAGGGCCAGAAAGAACCTAAGCCATCTGCAAGGTCAGTTCCCGGGGGCCAAAAACAGCAAGCTTACCAGAGATAAACGGTGTCTCCGAACCTTGAGGGCATTTCTAATCTGAGGTGCTGACTCCAAACCATCCGAAGGAAAGGTCAGGAGTGTATTTTAAACTGTTGGACGGTTGGTGTCATTAATGACACCCTGGGAACTAGACTGAGATGCTCCTAGGAGGCCCTGGCTCTTCATTAGCTGGGTCTCTTGAATTTCGTCCGGATGCCGGTTAAGCCAGACGGATGGCCAACTGAGAGTGTTAATGACGCTCCACTGCTTGACAGCAGGGGATGCCTTCTTGTTAACAGCCATGGTTGGGGGATTTATGAGGGATCCAAGTCTGAGGGCTTTTAATCCTCCAATTTTATTACACGGATCACATGAGAGCGTTAAATCGTAACGGTTTTCGTAATTGTCTTTAATCCACAACTCTCTCTTCCCAGAAATGATTTATTTCTAAATTAAAGTAGATTTAAAGAATCTGTCACTTCAGTCATAGCTCTATAAATGTGCCCCAAACATAGACCCGTGCCAGGTTCATGCCGTGAACCTTCAAAGTTTTAGAATCAAGTTATTGACATGAGCCTCCGATAGTCCCAGACTGGCTAGTCAGGTGACAGCCATCACAAGACGAGTGCAGTGTTTGAAAACACAATCATTAACACCCAGATCAGCAGCCTTGGTTAACAGAAACGGGATAAAAGCTTGGGGATCCGAAATCAATACATTTTCAGAGTTCCCTTTAATGTAGTTCAACACAGTGAAGAAGCTGCCTAACCTAGATTGTCTAAACTCAGAGTCTATGTCACTTGCAGGAAGATGTTAATTAATTAATTAACTTATGTTTGTTTTTTCGAGACAGGGTTTCTCTGGGGCTTTGGAGGCTGTCCTGGAACTAGCTCTTGTAGACCAGGCTGGTCTCGAACTCACAGAGATCCACTTGCCTCTGCCTCCCGAGCGCTGGGATTAAAGGCATGCACCACCACCACCCGGCTAGGAAGATGTTATTTAAAAAAAAAACACAAACACTAATGACTTATGGATTTGGTTCTTATGTCAAAACCACTCCTAACCTTCAAGGCTGTTGAACTGGAGGCAACCTTGGGCTCAGAGGAGGCATGCCAGCAGCAACATCCTCAGGTGCTGTAGGGTGGACACTAAGCTCTAGTAACTCCGGACTTGAAAGATGCCTTCCAGAAACAGGGCAAGGCCGGGCCTGGTGGCACAGGCCTGTGGCTGTATCTATTCAGGTGGCAGAGGAAGGATGACCAAGAGACGTTGCTCAACAGCAGAGCGTGTTTAAGGACAGCCTGGGTGACTTAGTAAGACTCTATCTCAAGGACGAAAAAGGAGGGCAGAAAAAAAAAGAAATCATAAAGGGAGAGGGGACAGTGCCTGTGTGGCGCCTGTGTGGCGCCTGTGTGGCCTCTGTGTGGCCTCTGTGCAGCCCTCGGGCATTTACGAAGCACCAAGCCAAAGCAATGAGAAAGCACGAGCCCCAGCAAACGACAACTCGTGCACCCTGGCTAGACTCAGAGCGACATGGACAGGCAGCTGCCAGCTCTGTAAAAAAGACGTACCTAGCACAGACCTCAGGGTGCGGCCGCCTGCGGACAAGGGAGAGCTGGGTGAGGATAGCCCGGCATGTGGGCACAAGGGGAGGGGCCAGGTGCCCGGGTGGTGGTGGCCGCCAACTCTGAGGTGAATGAGGTGCGTGAGTCTTTGGCTCCCACTGTACGATGAACGAAAGAAATACAAGAGACCGAGGTGGCCAAGGACCATCAAGGACGGACTCATTCAATTATGTGAACTTGAAATCCATTAAAATGCCCAAAAAACAAACAAACAAACAAAAAATGGAGGCCCTCTAGTCTGGCTTAAATTGGCCTCTCATACTTGAATGACAAAATTTGGCCCAGAGTGGCCTCCATAGATAGCGAACTGCAATCTATCTTGATGTGCAAGCGGGCTGTATCCCAAGCTAAGTACGTACCATGGTAACCAAGCAACCAAGCCTCAGCCAATCGCAGCAGCTAAACCCTCAGCTGGTCCTAAGCCTGAAGGCCGTTAAATTATGCACAAATAAGGCGAAGGGGGATTAAACCAACCAGTAGCCCGTGTGGACACACATGGACTTGCTAATGAACGCAGCCGACCTAGCTGCTGGAGACAGGACTGAACCTTCTTGGTCCTGAAATTCAGTCTGTTTCTAGGACCCTTTGTTTATTCAGACCACCATAGCTAACTCTGACCTATGTTGGGTTTTTGGACCTGTTGGGAAGGAGATGTCTGATTTCCTCCAGCAAGCCCAGGACAGACTTGGAGGTTAAGACAGCCACAGCTTTTCAGAAAGCCCTGAGAAGTCACATGAATTTGGGAGAGCCTCCTGGACGCTGTTTGCTCATTACTGGAGGAAAGGGGGAAGTGGGTTTTCACCAGTGACAGGGAGGAGGGAGGTGCCGTCAGTGTGGCGGGTTTCTCTTATTCCCGAAGTCACCCTCAGGGGACATGGAAGTCAGGGCTGAGGAATTGGGAGGTGAGCCGCTAGCAATCCCAGCTCCACAGCTCTGTGCATTCTGGGAAATGCGTCCTTGGGCAGCAGGCTGACCGTGCCAGCACAGTAGTGTGTGCTTACGGAAGCCAAGGTGGCTGTGATGTCACTGGGCGCTGTACTCCTTGGCCCTCACTGTCCATGCAGCCTGCCAGTGGCGGAGGTGGCCCCGGGAACATGTCTCTAACACGGTATTCGTGTTCAGTGCCTGCCCTCCCTGCCCTGCCTAGACCACTGTGGCACGGGCTAAGTCGGTGGATCCCGTGCTGTTTTCCAAGCTTTAAGGCTAAGGAGACACACACATAATAAGGAAGTATAAACTGAGCAATAATCTTTGGCAGTCTATTTTTCTTTTTTTGTTTTGTTTTGTTTTGTTTCATTTTTCCGAGACAGGGTTTCTCTGTATTGTTTTGGAGGCTGTCCTGGGACTCGCTCAGTAGACCAGGCTTGGTCTCGAACTCACAGAGATCCACCTGCCTCTGCCTCCCGAGTGCTGGGATTAAAGGCATGCGTCACCACTGCCCAGCCCTATTTTTCTTTTTTAATGGAGGGTTTTGCTCTAGACAG